AAGACGTGGTAGAGGGGGGAGAAGGGGAAATAGAGGAGGTGATAGGGTACCCAGAGGTGGGGGTGGCTTTCATAGCTGGTTTGAAAGAGGTGAAACCTCAAATATAGTACCACCCCAAAAAAGGGTCAATGAAGAATATAAATCTAAAGAGATGGTGGATGTAGATGTGATGAGTGATGGAGATGGGCTGGATATGGCAGATATGGACTACATTACACAACAAATTACAGAGTTGAGGAAATCAGGTTACACTGATGTAGACATTATGAGATGCCTTGGAATTACAAAAGCTCATTTAGAAGAGTTTGGATATGTAGTAAGGTTTCTTTTAGTGTTTATGTATATGATTAAGTGTTTTTTTACTATTTTTTTTTTTTCTTTTTAGGCTGCCAATGTTGAAGGTGGACTGGAAGGAGGTGGACAGGGTAATGAAGAAGAAGGACATAGACAAGGAGATGGAGTGGGAGGAGGTGGAGATGGACAATGTAATGAAGAAGAAGAAGGATATGGGCAAGGAGATGGAGTGGAAGAGTTGAGATGGACAATAAGGAGAAGGAGATGGAGAAGAAGAAGATGGAGAAGAAGAGATGAGAGAAGGAGATTGGAGAAGTGGATGAAGTGGAAGGAGTTGAAGCTGAAGATGTTCAGGAATGATGAAAGGTGGAGAAGGAGTTGAAGTGAAAGCTGAAGATGTTCAAGGAAATGAAGAAGGTGTTCCAGTGAATGATCCAGTACAACAAGGGCATTTTTGGAAACTAATGCAACAAAGAACAAGGAGACCCTCAGAGAGGATCATTCTTCAGAAAGCTGAAAAAGAAGGTGGTTGACCCTCTTGGTAATAGGATGTGTGAGATAAGCATTAATTATAGATTAGGGATAAGGGGTTATCATCTTTTGGTTCATATTTTGTAAAGGTGGACTATGTAAACTGTTGCATATACCATCTTTTGTACATATTTTGTAAATGGTTGTACATATCCACTTATATTGGTTCATATTTTGTAAACAATTACTGGTAATTAAGCAAGGGCATTAAGCATGGTCACAATGGTCAATGTCATATTTTAGTTCAAATTTGGTTGTGCAGGTTAGCCTTGGTTATTGACAGTTTTATTATTCATATGTGGTTCATAGTTGTTGTACTTTGATTTCACCATAACTCAATACAACATAAGTAAAATGTTCATTACATTGCAAAAGAAACAACATCGTACATAGTGACTACATATCCCACTACATTATCTTAAAATACAAACCAAAACATAAACCCAAAATAAACCACAACATTGACCACCCTGGAACAACACCACCTACACCTTGCACTTGAGCTGGAACAACTTCTACTACTGCTTCTTCCATTTGTTCTACAACATCTCCATTCCACCCATTGTGCAATTGTAAGAGCAAGCCCTTGTACCACTGATTAGGGAGTGGAGGATCCACCCAATCAAAGAATTTGCAATCTTTACTCGAATCCTGGATAATCCAAGATTAAAGAAAGAAAAAAAAAACTAAAAGATAAAGAATTTCAACATTAACAACTAACCCTATAATTTGGGCATCCAATGAATCTTCTTCCAAGATTTCCTGTCTTCCATGAATTCCACCTTCCAACTAAGTCACCACAGTCGCAATGTGTCCTTTGAGGGGGATTGAACCTTCTCACAGCCTTGCTTCCAACAGATGAAGAAGACGACATTCTCGTCTTTTCCTTTGAAAAATACGAAGTTAGGGTTCATGGGGATTGACGGTATGGTGCTTAAGTAAGGTCGACAACTCCACATAAGCCTCTTATTTAATAAATCAGTGGTCCACGTAAGCATTTGGTGCCACTTCACCAAGTAAACCGGCTGCACCGGCAAAAAATGTCAACCGGGTCAATAAATGCCGGTAATTCAAGCTTTTGTGTCAAAAAAAATTAGTTTGGGACTTTCGTGTCAATTGGATGAAAATATCGGGACTTTACTGTATATATCCCTATATATATATATATATATTCTATATATATATATATATATTATATATATATAGGTTCAGGTATTTAAAGTAATTATTGTGTTATTGTATGCATAAATATGGGCCAATCAAAATTAAATAAAAAACTAAATAATTAATAAATCAGTGAGGGTAATTTGTAATTTGGTAAATCATTCTATAAATAGTCCCTTTATTTAAGGATCCGTTTCTTATTAACCCTATTAAAATCCACCTCCAGATCACACCGGCGAACTAAATCCGCCTCTTTCTTCCTCACACTAACAACTGGTTCTTTCTCCTTCCCTCTGCGCCGTAGGTCACCTTCCTACTTGTCTCCATAACCAATTAATCGTCGTCCTCGCCACTGCTTCCTTCGCCTAATACCATTTTCAGTTTCTGATGAAAATCGGAACTCAATTGGGATGTACAATGGTCAAAGTGTGAAAAGTCAAAATTGACTTATTTAAACGAAGAACAGTGGGTTGTTGATTTGGAATTAAATTGAAGTCAGGTTCTCAATCGCCAAGCGAGTATTGCTAAAAGTCAAAATTAAGAACGAATTCGCTGCGAACCTCTTACCTGCGAACGTTCGTTGACTGTGATTCGAAAGCGAACCTGTTGAATGTGATTCGCATCTCACGACGGTATGGATTCAAAGTTCCAATCGGCTTGCAATCTGAAACAAGACTGGACTCGGGTTCGTGATGGTATGCTTGGAACCGATTGATCACTGTTGGATTATTTGTCATTTGGAATTGATTCAGAGATTGAAACATTTGAATTCGGAGTTTTTGTATACGTGTTCCAGTCGCATTATTTAATCCGACGTTAAATTGGGGAAGAAAATATTCAAGTTACATTTTTGGCCCCTGCAACTTCAGCGATTTGATAATTCTGGTCCCTGTTGTTTTCACAGCTTGGCCCCTGTGGTGACATTTGGTCCATTTGCTTCAGTAAACGATGTTTTGACATCATTATCACATGCAATTGGTAATTTCCTGAAAACCATATTGAAATTTTGCATTTCTTCCAATTACTTTTTTTTAAGGTCATCTATTTTTACTGGTATCAAGTAAGACTACTTGGAATTTTCACTGACGTTTATTTTAAGTTGGATTAAGTTTGATATTTCTTTTTGATTATCAGAAAAGGATCTGGAGGTTGGAACTGGTAAAGGAGATAAGCAAAAGCAGGGACTGCAAGTTTTCGTATATTAGATAAGGAGAATAAATGTGTTCTCACATAATGGTATTCTTATAGAACGTAATTCTCGTCTGGTATTAGTCTCACAAAATGTCATTACCGTAAGAATGGTTGGAATCAATGGATTATGGACCATTGAAGAAGATCAATGGCATTTGTTCACGAATTGTATGGAATCACGAATTCCAATTCTGTTGGAATGAAATCATGAATTCTAATTCTGTTGGAATCTAAACTACAATTTGGTTTTGTTTTCACAGAAGTTGATGCTTGAAGAACGGACCACAAAATTGAAAGTGATTCTAAGCAACATTATTCTTTTAGAATGTATTAGTGTCGTTAGATTTTGATGTTTTCTTTCCCGTTTTGAAAGTTTTTTGTAGTTTTATTCTTTAACAATAAATGTAATTCTTAACAATTGTTACCCGTATTCTATAAGAAATAAGTATTTTTGTTTTTTTCTTCAATTGATTTTTCAAAGAATTTGTTATTCTACAAGAAGAGTTTTTAAAGTCATGATCAAGAAATAGGTTCAAGAATATTTTTTATTATTTATGGTTCAAGAATATTTTTATTTTAAATATACTCATAAACACATTCTGTCAGAATATCCGAATTAAAAGAATTATAATTCGTAAAATCGGATTTTTAAAATTAATAGAATCTATGATCCCTTAAAATATGCAATTTTCCTTTATTAAATCTATAATTATTGACTAAATACCCTTGTAATTAAATTAGATGATATTTTTCAATTATATTTAATTCAATAATATATATTAATCACTTTCTTAAAATAAGTAAAATTGATTGACCCACATTTATGCATACAATAACACACTAATTACTTTGAATAGAATAACCTAAGCCTATATATAAATATATATATATATATATATATATATAAATATTATATATAATATATATATAATATATATATAGTGATTTACAAGAATGTCACAATTCACATGTACGTGTTGTGTTTTCCTCATCTGTGCTTTCCACGCAGCAACTATCACCGCTTTAAAGCCATCAGATTTTGTTTCTAGGTGTCCATGTCGGCAACGACCATACGAGCATCTCCACAGCTACCGCTTCCCTTTATAAAATCGTCCTTAAATTACCACCGACTTCTCTATCTCTCCTACTGTTCCTCTTTTCTTCGTCCTTCTCCCCCAATAGAACCACCAATTGGGTCGTCACAGCTAAAAGTTCTGGTTCACGTCTTCAACATCTGCAGCTGTTTTCCACACGGAATCCGTCTGCCATCGCTATGTAATTTGTGTTTGGTTCTTGTAACACCCCGACTCCCAGGTATATATCTTTAGAGTTTTATGTCTATATATCAGAAGATCTACTCGATGAGTTGGTGCCTAGACTCATCGGGTAGCGACACGTTTGGCCATGTGGTTTAAGTGACCAATTCGACGAGTTGGTGAACCTGACTCGGCGAGTTGGAGTTGGAATGAGAAACCCTAATCCCCAGAGTTTTGCACCCTATTTAAAGGATCCTTTGCCCCCTTAGCCTCCCCTTACAGCCCCTTGTGAGTCCAGAAACCCTAAATCGCCGGTTTTCTCTCTTTTTGTGTGATATTAAGCTTTGTGGTGAATTGTGGATGGAAGATCTTGAAGTACTCATGCTTGGAACAAGAGGAAGGCTGTAGATCCGAGTTCTTTTTCATCTTAGCACCGTTCTTGAGGTAACAAGTTGTTACCTTGACCTTCTTCGATCTAGATCTATGCATGTATGAGATTAGGGTCACTTTGACAATGTTGATATGTTATTTTTTGTATTAGGCGTGATCTGAAGTTGCAACTTCAGATCTAGGCTTCTCTTGGTCTGTACGATCATAAAGTTTCAGCCTTTAGTGAGTTAATACCTTCTTCATCCCTTAGAACCTTTCTTTAGCTTGATTTGGGCCATTATCACCTTGCATGTACGTAAAGTTTGCAACTTTACGTAAGAAGTATGCCTTAAGAGCTTAAATCTTCATTATGGAGCCTTAAAGTGGCTTAAAAATCGTCTGAATGGAGACAGGACTGAAGGGACTCGATGAGTTGCATGGCCAACTCGGCGAGTCCGATGAAGATTGTCGTGCAAGGATTTCTGCATGGACTCAGCAAGTCAGTAGGGTGACCCAGCGAGTCAACTAAGGTTTTCCCGATATTTGGACATGCATGAACTCGACGAGTTGTAGGAAAACTCGACGAGTCAACCGTAGATTTCACGACTTCTCGAGTTCAAGAAGGACTCGACGAGTCGGTGAACTGCACTCAACGAGTCGGGTCAACACGGACTGTTGACCTTGACCGTTGACCTTGACTTTGACCAAGGATTGACTAGTTGACTTCTAGGGTATTTTGGTAAATTGGGAAATTTATTGAAATGATTTTATGGTAAATATAGGTGGTGGAGATCGTGGCCGTGGTTCGAGAGTTTGAGTTTATCGCTTCGATTCGTTAGCTGAGAGGTGAGTTATCCTCACTATATCAACA